TTTTTTATTATAAATAAATTAAAAAATAAAATAAATATTAATTTTAACATTAAATAAATCTAAATAAAATAATTAATAAATTAAAATTTATTTTTTATTTTTAAATATAAATTTATGATAAAAAAATATATTTAATATATTATTAATTTATATTCTTGATACATATATTAGACAAATCCTTTTTACTATTGATTACATTATTTTTGTGTAATTTAAATATTAAAATTATAAAAATATTATTAATAAATAAATTTATAAAGTTATTTTATTAAAACATTTAAATAATTTTAATATTTAAATTATAAAAAAATACAATCAATACTAAAAGATACATTTTCATAAGAAAATCAACGTTCTCTCTTGTCCTTTTTTTTCTTCCATCCCTCTTTTTTCCTCTTTTAATGGGAATCGACGTTATTTATCGTGCCACTCGAACTCACATTTTTTAATATGAAATAATTATAATTATAATATTATATAATATTATAAATTTATAATATAATGTGTCATTATATAATTAATTTTTTATTTAAAAATTTACTTATAATATTATATATATTCACTCGTTTAATATCATATCATATTTTATTAAATATCACGTAAAATTATAAATTTATAATTTTATCTGACATTATAAATATAACTTTGTAATTCCTAAAAAACCCTTCCTTTTATTGGCATGTGAAATTATTTTATTTATTTAAACGCATAATAATGTGAAAATTAAATTATTTTAATAATTAAAATATTATAAATAATAAAAAATTTAAACTTTTAATAAATATAAAAAAATTTATTAATATTATTTAAATAATTTTATAAATAATCTTTGACATTTAAAATATATTAAACAAATCGAAGAAGATAATAAACAAATTGGAAAAGAAAAATAGTAAAAGAAATGAGTGGGTTGCTGCCAGATCTCTTCTGCTAGGTTGCCGGCAACTTGTTTCGCGAGGGATTGGAGCGGCATTATTCCAATAAAGGAGAGAGATCGGAATCCTATATTTAGTACCAGGATTGGAATTCTATAAATTAGTATATTTAGGATTAGGTATTAGGGATTTTTCTTTCTTTAATATAATTAAAGTCAAAAAGCTATTTTTAATAAAATTTTATTAAAATTTTGTCAAATTATTAATATTGTTATTTTTTATAAGAAATTAATATAGAAAAAATTATAAAAAAATCATTAAATAAACTCAATATTAGAAAAGTTATTGAGAAACATTTTTTTAAATCAATAAAAAAATTTTAGAGATTGAGAATTGTATATAAAAAAATAAATGCTCAAAATTTTAAATTTGTTCAAATTTTGATAGCCGAGGGCTAGGTTGTTGCCGTGTCTGGAGAAAAAAATTTATCGTGTTAGCATGTATGTGTTTTGTTTTTTTAATATAATAAAAAAGTAATGTATAATCTTTCATAAATTAATAAAAGATTAGTGTATATTAGTTTAGATTTTTAAAAATAATTTAAGATCTAATTTACATTTAAAAATTAAAATTTTATATTATTAAATGTTGATATTTAAATTTAAAAAGTCATTATATAATGTAATATGTTTAGAATCTAAATTTAAATATTAATATTTGATAAGATAATTTTTAAAATTTAAAATTTTATTTTATTTAAATAAAATGATATAATTTAAAGGGGTTGTGATTGTCCGCCTTACTTCCAAAAAATTAAGAAGAAAAAGGACAAATATCACCTTAATGCATATTTTAAAAATATGGTAGTTTAGTCTTTTTTCATAAAAGTTTATTGAAACGACATAGTTTTAGGATGATTTTCCTCCAAATCTTTAGGAGGTAAAGTTGACAGGCACTTTTTTCTAATTTAAAATTGAGACTTCAATTATTTTTATGAGTTGAAATTAATATGTATTTTTTTCACTAATAATATATCTTATAATTATTAATGATGATAAATTCCTTAATATTAAGATAATTTTTTTTATTAATAATTATAAATTTTACAATTAACATAGGAGAACATGCGAAACAGCCATATCTTAACATTATTAAAGGCTCAACTTGCAAGAGGGTACAATGGAGGGCTTCCGAAAGGAAGGATGGGAAAAGACAAAATGAGGCTAAGTTCCGGACAAAGGAATGAAATCATCCCTCCAGAATGACACGGACGTCGTTTACAAATGAAGCACCAGCTACACCAAAAAAAAAAAACAAATAAAGCTTTATTTCAAAA